GCGGCTTCTGAACCGGCAAAATCCGCTTAGAATCGAGAGGGCAGGCAAAGCCCCCCGGTTCCATAATATGCAGATAACTGGGAAACTTTAGTTTCACAACGGGGCTTTTGCGCCGCCAAACAATCCGACAACTTTAAGTAGCGGGCGCCGGTTCACATTGCAAAGCCGGAAACTTTCCCTGGACAGTTTTTTCCGGGCCAGCGGACTTTCCGGGGGGGGGAAGGGTGAAACTCCTGCTAAATTCGCATTCTAAACTACCATCTAATCCACCCTCTCAGTTTCACTCGGGGCCCGAATGAAATTTAGCGTTTTCGGTTTTTCGGGGTTTTCCCCACTAATCCATGCGGAGCGTTTCCCTGGGGGGCGCAAAAACCGGCCTTTTTCCTGCCGATTTTCAATTTCTCGATCGCCCGCATGGAAATGTGTGTGTGTGTGTGTGGCGTTTACTGCCTCCGATCGATCCGCGTGGCTTACGGAAGTTTCCTCTTCGGGTCTAGATGAGAGATGAGTTTCCCCGTATAGTTGAGGCGCGCCATCAGGAGTGAGTGAAATCCTGTTAGGAACGCTTGAGATATTCAACTCCTGCATTTCCGCGTTTGCCTGCTGCGTTCCAGAATGGCGGTGTTTCGGCATCGATCGGCTGCAATCTTAATGAAGTTGCCGCCGGCGAAAGCGCGCACAAAAGTATCTCGGGCCAGTTTCAATTATTTACCCTGCTGCAACAGCAGGAAACAATCGCGCCCCTAATTCGCCTTAATTATGTACCGATTAATCTTCCGTTCATCTTTATCCGCCGCTGCCGCGTTCCCAACTGTTCAAACTCCCAAACGACGGCCATTTTTCCGGGGGGCATCATTAAGGTCAGCAGGAGTTGCGGCCCACATCAAGAAGAGCCCGCGGTTTTCCCTGCGGCCCGCTTGATTTATGACGCCGATGACGACGATGATGATGATGATGATGAGCGCAGAAGGAGTTTCACCTGCCTGTTTGTTTACCGGGCGGCGGCGACAATTCGCCCGCGCTTCTCGCCAAACTCCCGAACTTTTCCATCAGTCGTTCGATTTTTCCGATGGTATTTTGGGGCGCCGGCCGTATCCGGTTGCTGCCGCCTTTGTCGTGCGCGCCCCCCTTTCAAATCCGGCGAAAGAGTCGAAAAAACTCCAACAATACGGCCAATAAAAACATCAATTTACGTCCAATTCGCCGCACACAAATCAATTGCGCCGCTGAGTTTTCGGCGGCTAAATGCGACCGGGAGTTGCTCGACCACAACTCCCGCGAAGGCCTAGAAACCCATTGTTCTCGCACTGGTTGTGTCAAGTCGGCAACTTTTTCCGTTTGGGAGTTGTGGCGCTTTGAAGCCAACTGGCGCGCGTTCTCATCTGGACCAAAAGGAGTTGARGCCCGGTTTCAGACGGTTTCCAGTCCTGGACTGCSATCAAATTTTCAGCGGGTTTAAAGTGAAGYTTTGACTAGCCGGAGCCCAAATTTCACCTTTCTGGCTCAAGGAGTTTGGAAGTTGCAAGTCAATGAATGTTCAATTGCACCGTTTTTCTTAGTGTCTCGCTTCATACAGACCGTAGGGCCTTCTGGAAGTTGGCAATGGAGTTCAATTTGGCGCCGACGGTAAAAACCGACTGAAGTAACCGCTCAACTCCCGAAGTGAACAAACGCGAAATTGCGCGGGCTCTTCTAAAAAATTCCCAACTTCAAAACAAAAGAAGTTCACTACTTGAAATTTAGACTAAACCCCACTTTCGACTCTCAAAAAGTTTGAGTCTGATCTTTTGACAGGAACAGGGTCCTGAACTTCAAATTGAGCGGGTCGATTTTAAAAAGTCGCAACTCCAAACCAAACGCAGTTGAGCACTTGAAACTTCGTCGATTTTTCGACTAAACTCCACTATTAAACTCCCGAAAAGTTTGAATCTCATTCTTCAACTAAAACAGTTCGGAAACGCGTGTTGAACCTCGCAGTGGCAAATGAGCATTTACTTCATCGGAATTTGAAAGTTTACAACTTCCAATCCAAGGAACTTTCTGAGTTGAAACTTCAGGAAAATCAAAATCAGACTACATTTTTGACTCTGCAAACGTTTCATTGACATTCGACTAGAAGAAAAGGATGAAAAAGCCGCTCAACTCCTGAAGTGGACAAACGCGAAATTGAGCGGGTCGATTTGAAAATTTTACAACTCCAAAAGAAACGTAGTTGAGCACTTGAAACTTCTTCAATTTGTAGACTGAACACCATTAAACTCCCGCAAAGTTTGAATCTCATTCTTCAACTAAAACAGTTYGGMAAAGCGTGTTGAACGTCGCAGTGGCAAATRAGCAATTTRCTTCAWCGGACTTTRAAAGTTWACAACTTCSAATCCSAGRAACCTTCCGAGTTGAAACTTCGGGAAAATCATAATCGAACTCCATTTTTGACTCTTCAAACGKTTYATTGACATCCGACTAAAGAAAGAGGATGAAAAAGCYGCTCAACTCCTGAARTGGACAAACGCGAARTTGAGCGGGTYGATTTTTAAAATTTGCAACTCCAAACCAAACGCAGTTGAGCACGTAAAATTTCGTCAATTTGTCGTGCAAAAACAGAAAGAGTTGGCAACAACKTTGTGACCGTAAGACCTTCTTGAAGTTGGCAATGGARTTTTGACTAGWCAGAGCCGAAATTTCACCTTTCTGGCTCAAGAAGTTTGGAAGTTGCGAGTCAATGAATGTTCAATTGCACCGTTTTCCTTAGTTTCTCGATTCATATTGGTTAGCAGAAAGTCGACTTCAGAGTCATTCACTTTTCACTTCGGCTCAGACTTGAGCCGACAACTCCACGGAGTTGCAGAAAGTTGTCGAAAGTGCAGAAAGTGAAGCCTCTGTTACTCTAAGCCGAAATTTGACTGTTTTCGCTTGATCAATGTTCTAGTGCTCAATCGGCGCTCTTTGCCCTTTGGGAGTTGGGCAGTGATTTCGACAACTTCCTCTTCCTCAAACCCAATGAAACTTTCTGGAAGTGCGAAACAAGGCCCGCTTGTCTCTTTCGCG